CTCCAAGTCCGCCACTGCTGCTGCTGAAACTAACAAGTAGCGGACAAGCGGTGGAGCAGAGCAGCTAGGGTGCTGCCGGGTTGGTCCCGCAGCGCCGCCCCTCACCCCCCTGCTCAGCGATAACTATTGCAGTCTGGGGAGCCCGCTCCCCTCCCGGAAACTCTCGGCGGCGGCACAGGGCTTCCCCCGCCTTCCTGCAATACGGCAGAGGGTTCGCCCTTTGCTGCGCCGTTTCCCACCAGCAACTCCAATTGTCAAGCTGGCCGGAGCACTTTTGGGTTCCAGTTGGTGCCGGATTATCGGGAGTGCTGGACCACTGTTTGCCACACAATTGGAGTTTTACTGTATCCTGCACTCTTTGGAAGACACCGAGCACATATCAAAGAACCCTCAAGAGTGGTGAGGAAACTAAAGCAGTAAATGGTGTCCTGGTATTTATTATTTTACAGGAATCTGCATCTCTCTCATGCAGTCTAAAGTAAATTGACTTGGATATCTTTCTGCAAAGTCTGTCTACTGGCTTCAACTGTCACATGTCCTTAAAGAGATAAACTATAAACTAGAGTGCAGACATGAGAAGTGAGTCTTTGCTCAAGCCAGGGTGTCTTGGAGAGTAAGAGTTGGCAAGACTAAGTATAGCAAACACACAGGAAAATGGGCATGGGAAGATCAAAGGACAGAAAGAAAAACCCCCAGAACACAAAACAAAAACCCAACCAAAAAACCAGGCTTTAAATATTTTAAGTCTCAATTTCAGGATTACTCTCATAAGAGCGGCCATACCAAAGGTCCCTCTAGCCCAGTATTCTGTCTTTTGACAAAGGACAATGCCAGGTGTCCCTGAGGGAATGAATAGGTATTCATCACCTGATCCATCCCGTCATCCATTCCCAGCTTCTGACAAGCAGAGGCTAGGGACATCATTGGTGCCCAACCTGGCTAATAGCCACAGATGGACCTATCCTTCATGAATTTATCTAGCCCTTTTTTGAACCCTATTATAAGTTTTGGCCTTCACAACAGCTTCTGGCAAGGAGTCCCGCAGGTTGACTGGGTGTTGTGCGAAGAAATGCTTCCTTTTGTTTGTTTTAAACACACTACCTATTAATTTCATTTGGTGACCTCTAGTTCTTGTGTTACGGGAAGGAGTAAAAAACTCTTTATTCACTTTTTCCACACCAGTCATGATTTTATAGACCTCTATCACATTCCCTCTTAGTCATCTCTTTCCAAGTTGAAAAATTCCAGTCTTATTAATCTCTACTCATATGGCAGCTATTCTAATAATTTGTGTTGCTCTTTTCTGAACCTTTTCCAATGCCAATATATCTTTTTTGAGATGAGATGACCACATCTGCACACAATATTTAAGATGTGGGCGTACCATGGATTTATATAGAGGCAATAAGATATCCTCTATCCCTTTTCTTAAGGATTCCTAACATTGTTTGCTTTTTTGGCTGCCATTGAGAACTATCTACAATGACTCCAAGCTCTCTCCCTGGAGTGCTAACAGCCAATGCATTCCCCATCATTTTAGATGTATAGCTGGGATTATGTTTTCAAATTTCAGCGGTTACACATGGAGCGGCAGTCAGCTCCTGGGAGCAAGTGCAGGTTGGGAGCCAGCTTTTAAGCAAACTCGTTATGCACGCCAGCGTGTCCCTTGTGCACCTATGTGTAACCATGAATGTTAACTGATGAGCCAAGGCTCATCAGTTAGCTATTTCCATGGTTATACTTTCACATCCCTAGTAGGCACTAGTGCAATTTGTTATAAGCAGTGATAGGTCAGTAGGGAAGATCAAAAATCCCTTTTAATCAGGTGATAATGTACTGCTGATGCTGTATGAAATCTTTTACTTATCAGTAAAAACCAACAAGATGGATGCATGGAAAGAATGTTAACTACGTGACAGAGACAAGAGCGAGTTGTGGAGCAGCACAACTAACAACTGGTTGACTCAGTTAGGAACTAATAAAATAGAAAATAAAATTTTAGATGCGAAAGCAATCACTGTAGAGCAGGGCTAGTCAACTTTGAAAGCCCCGGGGGGCCACAATGATACTCACAGCACGTGCTGAGGACCACAACTTAAGTGCGGTTGAATTTACATGCAAATGTATATGCAAATATTTGAAACAGCTTCTTTCACACTGATGGGCATAAATATAAAGATTAAGGCAAGACTACACATCACGCAGGCCCTGTTTAAGTCAGTTCTGCTGATATTAATAAAATGCAATATTTACCCGATTTCCACCCATATGACAGCACTTTTAATGAAAAAGACAGTCCAGGAATTTAACTACTAAAACACATATCAACAGAAGACCATTATACGGCTTTTTTGTTTGGTTCCCACCTGCGGGCCACATGAGTCCCATGTAAACCCAAACCGCACCACGGGCCGCAAACAAACGGACTGCGGGCTGTATGCGGCCCATGGGCTGAGTTTTGAGTAGCCCTGCTGTAGAGTATGCACAAGTCATGTTCGCTGTGATCTAGAATAGTTTGTTTTGATTGTAGCCTTCTGTACAGCACAATGTCAGGCAGGGAATTTTGCATCTCTGTCCCTTTATTACTTACAGTTGTTTTCTGTTTCAATTTGGAATACCCAGTCTGTGTCAATATTTAAAACAAGGAAAGAACAAACAAACAGGTTTCTTCGTCAACTACTTGCAGTTCTTTATAAATCAGCAATGTTTAATTGGGCAGAGTCAGTAAAATAAAAGTCACACTTCTATCTGAAACATTCAGGATGATTGTAAATGAAAGAAATTAGAGGGGGGAAAACACCTTTCCCCTTTTCCTGTGTTTATTTACTGAAAATGACCATATGCAAAGTGTGGTGGAATGTATAATTTGCTCTGTTCACGTGGATCTTTCCAGCAGCAATACTGAAGAGAAACCATTTTTAACTCGTTTTCTGAAATCAACTAGACAGATGTGTGTTGTTTTTGTTTAGGTGTCTCTGTACCTCAGATGATTGTACCCCCATGTGTGTTTTGATGTGGTGGACCTTATGAAGAAATGCGACCAGAGGTATCATTCAGAAAACAAAAGAAATTAAAGTGTTTGATTTTTTTAAAAAATTCTCACCTTTGTTTAGGATCCTTCTTTAGCAAACCTGACAGAAGAGATTTAGCTTCAGGTGACAAAGTGCGTGGAAACCTAATCTCCTCCATGAGGATAAGTTCAAAGAGCTTCTCGTGATCCTGATTGTAGAAAGGGAGCCGGCCACACATCATTTCATACATTACAACTCCTAATCCCCACCAGTCCACTGCACGACCATAGTCATTATCTTCCAGCACCTGCAGAAACATAGAGCACTGCTTTAATACATATTCCTATGTTGTGAACAGGCAGGGAATTCAAGTGACAGGACTTATACTATTATATTAGTTTTCATGCAATTCACAGCATCCTTGCAGCAACCAAGAGTAGATCCCCTTGCAGACAACTGACACTAATGCACACCAATGATTTATCAACAGGGAACACTCAAGGCAAGTGGGGGGGGGAGGGGAAGAAGCTAGAGAGATGGCACTCTCCCCACACACATTACTTCCCTGAAATGCATAACCTTCTAAAGCTGAGAGACTGACAACCCAAGTCCGTTCTCAGATTACAAAGCCAGCTGCTAAATCCTAACTTATTCATTAGAAACCATTCCAAATGGGGCCCCATTTTAAAAACAGGATGCCATTTGGGGAGCAGGAGAGATCTGATTAACCTGTTGCATGAAAACTACAATTATACCTGTTCCTCTCTCTGTCAACTCATGTTTTCGTTCAACATTCTCACCAGAAAAATCAATCTCCAACCTATGAATGTCTGCTTGCAAATGTTAGAAGAATCACTGAGCTTGAGAGCCAGAGATTCAAAACTGCTCATCTCGCCTTTTGCACTTCTGGCCTTTATGTTGCCCTAAATGTGAGCTAAAATCTTTTGAAAATCTGTTCCTCAAACTTCGCAATTTCCAGTCTCCTTACTAAACACACAGATGTTGAGAAGAAGAAGAAAAAAAACTTCTCACAATGGAGAAAATCTACTATTACAATTTTCTTTTCTTAATTCTGTCCTCTGGTTTGGGTTGTGTTATGTGGTATTTGATAGCTGTGCTCTTCTTACAGTTCTGCACTTTACTGCTTATCACTTGGAAGAGGTAAAAGCACTGTTTGTTCATTCATCTGTGCTGTGCAGTGTCAACCCAATACACTGAACTTTTTATGCTCAGAACTTTTTATGCTCAGAAATAAAAGTCTTCAGTGGGATTCAGGACCAAAGAACCAACTAAAGCCAGAAGCAGTTTTTCCACTAATGTCCATGGGAGCAAGATCTGATGCGTTATGAATTAATGAGAAAGATCTTGTGGATAAATAGGAAGATCAAAGTTTTCTTTGTAAGAAATTATGTTCTCTCTCTCTCTTTTTACTCAGTGCCCTGCCTTAAAAATTATCTGAACTCGAAAAAAAGCCCTGCAGTAAAAATCCAAAGGCTGTCCGGTATTAGATTACCCCACACAGGTCTATTTACAGCATCTCTTGCTGTATGATTCACACCAAACGACAGCTGGTTCTACAGCTGCCCCATATATGTATAAGACTAACACAGCTGCTTGTCTGCCAGGATTCCAGGAGCCGGCTTCATCCTTTATGAGGAATCATGGACTCTAACTTCACAGGAGATATTGTATGACAATACAGTAGTTAGCCATATTTCTGAGCCACACCCTTTCAATAAGCACTTCCTGTTCATTCTAAACCACTTAAGTTACTTAAAATAGAGTGAACACTTTGCTCCTGGATACACAATAGGGATATTAACACACACACACACACACACACACACACACACACACACACACACACACACACACACACACACACACACACACACACACACACACACAAGTCCTACAAACTCAGGTCTTCTAAAATGAAATAATAATTTGGCCAAGATACTAAAAGAACACTAGTTATAATCCAGATTACTAGCTAGAACCCTGCATTTCTACCTCCATTCAGCACAGAACAAGTACCAACCTTTATTTCCATATGTAAAAAATACTTCTTGCAAACACTGCAGTGCTTATATTAATGACATACAAAACAAGGCAATGATTTAAGTATGTTCACAACTGAGAGGAGAAAAAAATCATATACAATGGTATGACAGGTATTTTTATACCTATGATTTATTGCAACATGCCTGGTAACTGTTAACCAATAGGTAACAAGGTCATTTAACTTAATTTAAGTGGATGCTCAATTCATGACAAGCAGTTCTAGGCAGCTGTGCGATGGAATTTACAAGAGTAGAGAACAGCTGTAAACAGGATAGTCATCAATATATCTGACACATCAAAGCTGACACAGTTCAGTCACTGACATCCATGCACAAGATTCCAATATGAACCTAAAACAACTATGTAACAACTGTATAAACACGCTCTTATGCTAGATTCAAGTTACAAATAGAGAGGGAAAAAAAAGAAACCCCCTGCTTTGAAGGATACATGACCTTAAACATACAGGATACTCACACACACAATTTACAGATTTTTAACATACTACCAACCAGATGACAAAAGCCTTCAGAATTTAACACTACAACCCATAGCTGGGATTTGCAATGAAAGGAGTGAGCTAGATTAGTCAAAAGGATTTGTTCGTCTGTGTTATGGCTCAATTAGATTGTTACAAATATTAAAGGCAACTACTGTTGATAAAATGATTGAGGGGAACTCCATATAGAGACATTCCATGGCTGCTTCGGACACATTCTACATCAGGAAAAAATCCAAAAATGAAATAATTCTTGGTGAGATTTTCCCAGTTTTTCATTGGCCCACAAAATTCTCAGTTATAATCAGAGACTAAAGTTTAACACTGCTCTAGGGTCTAGAGTTGCATGGAGAGACTCGTCGGTCTTACCTCAAATAATTTCGGACCTTCCAAGGGAAGATCCTCTATGGTGGACTACACATCTCCTCTGGGAATCCAGACAGGTAGATCCAAGAGGCACATTCATTTTAGATTTCACACAATAGATCTTGTTCCCATGACGCTGTGAGATGGCCTTCAGAAATGACAGATCTAAATTGCCCCTTTTTGTCTTCAGGGATAAAAGTCAATACATTCACATAGTTTGGAATAATGTATGTGACTGCATTTCACCATCAAGACATCATAGTTGGCCATTCTGAACTGCAGCGTTACTGATAAATAGGCCTTGCAACATAAAAGATCCAGTCTTTTACACTCTTTATTATATGGGTTGCCTCCCCTGCTTTTTGACTGCCTCTATCACCAATGAGTTTGGCTGGGGG